CAGTGTTCTTTGATCACATAAAAAGTGGAAGGATTTCTAGGAGTTTATCTGAACATTTAAGTAAGCTAGGGCTCTGACTTTATCTATACAACTCATACTTATTTACTTAAGTGTATGTTGATACCTTTACAAAGGCCTACATGTTGAATTCAGGACTTGGAAATACAAAGTCACTGACAGAGCCAGGACCACGAGTCCTGAGCTTCTGTTTGTATTCTAGGATGCGCTCTTGCATTATTTTTAAGTCCAGAGTAGACACTGATTGTCTGATTGAATCTCATCTTACCTATTAAAAGTTACAGAATAAAAATCTTAGTCATAGATGAGAGTTCATGTGTGTTTACTGAAACATTTTATAGATTTCCCCAAGAATTCAACAGGAAAAAAAAATACACCCAAGAGCAGATGAGCACAGGCAAAGCAGTGGTGACTGATCTGCACATGGGTTAAAAGATGCTAAGACTTTGTTTGATTTTCCTTGGAGACCCTTAGAGTAGACTTCTGAAACTGATTTGGATTATAGATTTTGCTAAAGTAAATAGGGCACATTAGTCTTTTGTTTCATTGGCTTTTAATTACTGGCTTTTGTATCCCATCTGGAATGTCCGTTTGGATTCTTGGACCTTACTTTAACACTGCACATACTACTGTTTGCTTTGTAGAATAACGCTGAGCCATTTCTGCTATTGTAATATCAAGGTGAAGATAAAATTTTAAGTTTCAGACATTTTTGTACTGGGTCATATTTGGTTTTCAGTATTAAGGAGAGATGTTTGCTTCTTAATAATAGTGGTCAGTCATAAGGAATAGAACCCAATTGTGTTATTTTGAAATGATGACAGAATTGATTCATGGATATCTGGCAACAACAAAAAAGAAACAATTATGGTGAATAATAAAGGACATCTGAGTCTTACTCTTTGGTTTTGTGGAAGCTGGTGATATTGGAAGAGATGGAAAAATAAAAACTAATGGTTATTATCTATTTCTGAAAGGAAGTGAATATAATACTGGATAGATATGTAGTTTTAGATAAAGAGAGGTTAAGATTATTCCAGTATTATTTTTCTGTTTCTAGACTTTGCATGTATGTCTTGGTCTGTTTCTAGACTTTGCATGTATGTCTTGGTCTCATCATCATTACACCTGCAGCTTTACATTTTCATTGCTTTTAGAACCTCCTTTGGTGTATAAGCAGAAATGAAAAGAGAAGGTGAAAATGTAGGCAACTTCGTTTCTTTCTAGCAGCTCTTGAAAGTTCCATATTACACTATTTAAAGAGTACCCTGTACAAATTAGTGACTGTGGATTCTAATCACCAAAGCCCCAGGTGAATCTTATGGTCAGGTATGTTTGAGAAATGATATATTATCTCTCTACTTCACCCAGCACACTTATTCTCTTGTTACATAGTTATTTGCATGTTGTTAACCTATTTTGAGAGTTTATAAGCTCCTTGAAGTTATACAGACAGAGTATGTCAGTATCTGCACTTTTCTGGAAAGAGAATCCATGGCTTTCACCCTATACCAAAAAAAAAAAAAAAAAAAAAAAACCCCGATTCCCCTGAGGAGGCGAAGGTCGGCTCCTCCCCACCCCTGCCGCCCTCACCCAAAACAAAAAAAAAAAAAAAAAAAAAATGAATACAGTTGACCCTTGAACAACATAGGTTTGAACTGTGCAGATCCACTCATCTGCAGATTTTTTTCAGTAGTAAATACTACATGATCCAGTCGGTTGAATGGGCAGATATGGAACTATGGATACAGAAAAATTGTGGATATGGAGGACCCACATGAATTTTTGACTGTAGGAGGGTCGGCGCCCCAACCCTTGCATTGTTCAAGGGTCAACTGTAAATAATAGTATTCTCTTAAAAAATCTGTATCTCAAACTAAGGTAGGAACATTAGAAAATACACTTCATACTACTTGCTAGATTTTAAGCAACCAAACATCAGGCATTGAATGCCTTACTGATATATATTTCCCTTAGCACTTGGGCACTGTCCCTCTCATAAACACTTTTGCACAGATGGATTTTAGAGTTGCATAAATCTGGGCCTAATTCCTTGGACCTGGTACCCCACAGTAGTAAGTAAGCTAGGAACTTGTGTTCCACCGTTACCTCCTTCAGGCAAGAGAAGTTTTATAGAACAAGAGCCATTTACTTAACCAATTTATTTTGTCTCCTTCCCCACTCAAAATTATCAACTCTAAAGAATGTGGAACATAACGGATAGATTCAAATTATTTTCAAATAATTCCTGAGTAAAAAGAAAGAATGAAAACGTCCCTCCAAGTTTCGAGCTAGAGGGGTGAGATACCTCCAGAAGCTAAATCATCTATAGTTCGGCTTTTTTACAGAGGTCTCTTTGGGTGGTGATTTCCATGTTAAAAAACAAAGCTATTTATTCAAAAAGGAAAAGTGTACAGAGTCTCTGTGATGAAGCGACTCCCTAAATAGTAATCTCAATGAGGAAAAAAAAAAGACATGAAGTTCTAAGCAACAACATTTCCTTGGTTGGAGCTTCCCTGGTGGCGCAGAGGTTGAGAGTCCGCCTGCCGATGCAGGGGACACAGGTTCGTGCCCCGGTCCGGGAAGATCCCACATGCCGCGGAGTGGCTGGGCCCGTGAGCCAGGTATCTCACCAACCACTCCATAAAAATCACCCAACTAGGAAGTATTTTAAAAATTCACCTAGAAATAATAGCAAAGTAATTAGCAAAGTTTTGCATTCTGCATCTGTCTTTTTTTTTTTTAATCAATGTTGCTTTTTTTTTTTTTTTTTAAAGCTGTGGTAGCCATTACAGAGCTATTGTTCATTCCTATGGGTCTAGGACAACAGGGGCAGGAGTCAAGGCCAAGTTATGAGTCCCCAATACTTTTGCCATGAGTGCATCACACTCCAGACTCATTGGACAGCTACTGATTTCCTTGGATCATTTTAATCCAACCCAAAATTCTTCTATGGCTCTGGAACCTCCTGAGGCTTTCAGAGGGGTTAGAACTATGGTTATCAACCCTTAACTGTGCATCAGAATCACCCAAGGAGCTGTAAAAGTGTATAGATACGTGATACTGCTTCCAGAGATTGCTGATCGACTTGATCTGTGGTGGGATGCAGATTAAGTGGTTTCTAAAAGATGCTCAGGAAGTTCTGATGTGTAACAAATGGCTGAAGATGACTTGTTTACACATTTCCAGACTAATTTTACAGAACCCAAATATAAGGATTTGGGGGGGAGGTGCGTCTTCAAGATCTATAAGTAATAACACCATACTTTAAATATATAAAATGGTGTCAGAGTAGTCGGAAAGAGTTTACCCTCTTCAATCTGAGATTTCTAAATCCAGCAAGCACATAAGATATTATTCAAAAACAATCTCATTAAGAATTTGACTGCCGGAAATTCTTGAACACCTACATACTATCCTGGTGGAGGGCGGGGGGCTCTGATCCCAGCAGGTGTCCTTTTTAAACACCTGTTGGAGTGAACTCTGCCACTGGCCCTTTCAATGGGATGGAGTTTTAATTTCCCAAAAGCTGGGAGCCAGTTGGAATGCTAGAAATGCACATTTGTTGCTTATGTTCCATTCTAGTAAACCATCTCCTGAAGTGCTATGTTGATCTCTTGATTGTGTAGTTAATGAGAGAAATCTATAGATACCATTCAGAATGCCTAGCAGTCTTGTTTATAGAGGTTAACTAGAGAGAGTTGATTTCCCATCATCAGCTAATAATGAGAAACACTGTTTACCATCTCGTGAGTCTTTCAAGAATTGATGTGTTAAAAACCAGAATTGTCATTGTAGATTGGAGAGTGTTGAAAGCTCACCTAGATAACTGTTTTACATTTTTCCCAAGTGGAGAGTCTGAATTTGTGTTTGATTGTAATGAAATAGCTAAAATGTTACACAGCTTAAGGCCAAACATGCCTGTGAATGATTCTATCCGAAAGCTGACATAAACAAACTGTGTTAGTATCACTATTTCAAGCATGTTCATCATGTCTATCTATAGCATACTACTGAATCAGGTACCGCCTGGCTGAAGGTCATGGGTTACACATAGCTCTTCAAATACTTTATTTTTGAGACAGCTGAATTACTCTCTGACCTGACTTTAGTGAGTGGGAGGGTCATCATCTTTATGCCTTACTGCCCTTTCTAAAAATAGTAGGGGCTTTAATAAGGAGATATTTTAAGCAGCTCATATTCACTTGTCTCATCAGGGGAAGATTATTTTGGCCACTTGCATGTGTCCAATTTGCATGTGCATAGAGTTAAACTTCTGGAGGCTAGTCTGTGCTCCTTCACACCACTCATCTAAGAAACTGGCAAGCATAAAGACACTGGAATTACTAGCTGAGATTCAGTGGGTAGACACAAATGAAGGGAAGACACTTTTTAGGAATGTGAATATGCTTCCGAAATCATCCATTTCAGACATTTTCACATCAGTCCTCAGCTTTTCGGATCTGTTTTCATAAAACCTGGCCGTGATTTCACTCCAGAGACCTCAGTGATCTTGCCGCTTTTAATAAACATTAATAGGAGCCACTGCCAGCCTGTGGATAAGGGAAACTAATGAGAAACTGCCATCCAAAATCTGAACAGCAAAAACAAAACCAAGCAAAACCAAAAACACCCAAAACAAAACCAAAAAAGAACAACTCAAACAATCTGTGCTCACAAGAAGACGCATAGAAAAACACCGAGATGTAACTTTGATTTGATAACTGGATTTATCAGTCACATGACTGACATGCAGTGGGTACTCTGTATTTTTCTACTCTGAAATACAAGTGCAAATCTATGTTATTCTGCACAACTGGGACCAAAAAATTATGAGTGTGAGAAAACGCAGACTCTAAAAGCAAGATGGAATTTAAGCAGGTAAACCCTGTTTCACAGTCATGTCATTCCGGTACAGTTGTACGTGGTACTCGTGTTTGCACCTCTAAGAAATTTCCATTTTTTCGCATCAAAAACTCCAGATATGAAGCTGAAGCTGCTTTCTTCGCCAACCTGAAGCTGTCTGATTTCAACATCATTGACACCCTTGGAGTTGGAGGTTTCGGACGAGTAGAACTGGTAGGTGATTGCTCTTTAAATGCTTTTGAGAGTCCTGTCTTCCTTTTTAATTTTTTCTCCTAGATTAAGATTTCTCTTTTCTTCTCTCTCTCATCATTAATTACTATTGTCCCTAAATTGGTACCAAATACTCTCATTTCAGCACAACAGAGTTTGCAACAAAGTGAACTATGTTATGTAATCAGTAAATGAAAAATAAAATAAACACCAACTTACTTTTTAGAAAACCTCTGCATATTAAATGAAAGGTAAACACATTTACTTATGAGGAGTCATAAAGCACTTATTACCCGCTGATTTTCTGTGATCTTTATTTACTTCCTTAGTTCTGAGCAGTGCTCACTAACTTAATTATGCACTCTATCTATAATCACAATAACTAAAATGTAAATTTAAATATATATAAAGGGAGATGAGGTATATTTACATGTATTATATATCTATGTATATAACGTATAATTATTCTCACCACTGCTTTAAAAATTAAGTAAATGGTGTTGTAGTTATTCTGTGATTCTGTAGTTATAAGCACCTATTTAGATTATAGTACATGTCTATACACACATATATATAACTGTATTAGATAATATGGTATGAATATTTTATATAATTTATTTCACACACGTGTTTATTTGTGTGTATACACACACAGCTAAGTGAAGATGAAGAAGACATTTTGGCACAAGTTCATACATTAAACATATGGCATCAATATGGTGTAAACCAAATGAAAGCATGTTCTATTGTGCCTTTGTTTAAAATATAAATTTAAAAACTGACATACTACAACAAAAATTAGAAAAAAATGTACTCTTGTGACTGAGTTGCTGCATTCCAGACTGTGTGGGTAAAAACTGTATTTGAGAATGTAGATTAACGTCCACCTCTCCTGAACATGGAGGAGTCCCTGATATCAGACCCCAGTACAGTACGTTAGGAACCTCCTGAGACTGTGTACAGTTCAGTAAATAGTTACTGTTGCCATCAGGCAGTAGGAGAAATCCCCTTCCATAAAAGTAGATTGACCTAGCACTATTTTTGTATTTGTCCATTTGTGCTGTAGTTGGGATTTCTGACTTTGATGGGCAGAATGATGTTATTTACTTAAATATTAGACAAGAAGCGTTTAGAGCCGTAAAGTGTTTCACTGAATTTGTGTGATGCTTCCCTTAACACTGGCTGGAGATACTATAATAATATGACTGCTGACTTGATTCCTGACTTCATAGTGTGCCTCTGGGGATCTAAGTATTGAATGTTTTCAATTACAGGAGTAAAAATCAAGTAAGGGCTTACTTAGAAAAACCTCTTGCTTTTCTGAATCCTGCCAATTAATGCAGTCTTAGATTTATTTTTCAAGAACATTAATTTTGTGATGAAATATAACTTCACATAGTTAATGAAGATTTAATCACAGTGTTATACATGAACAGCTTTGCACTGGGAGTGTTGGGACACAGAAACAGCACAGAGTGTAGAGCTCCTAGCCATGAAGGATTTATTGTCTGCTGTGTTTATTTACATAGTTGTATGTGTCTAAACCCCTCTCTCGATGAAGCAGTATAAAGGACAGAATTCCCTAGAGATTAATTTTATGGCCGTTACAGTTTCTTAAAATTATTGTTTTAAGGACCGTGGACAATAAAATTGCTGTTTTAGTTGACCAAAAAAAATCAGCATTATAACGTTGTGGTCTCCTAAAGAGGTCTGATAACTTCAAATTGGGAACCTTTAAGTTACCAGTGAGATATTTTATGAAATATAGGAATTTACTTAGGATTTTTGGAAAAGACAAAATATGCATGTGTTTGTAGGCATGTGTGTGCTTGAGTACATACATATTTATATATAATCTTCATCCCAGGAGTGATAATCAAAGGCAGTTCAGCAATTTTCTTCTCATGGACGTGATATTTTACACGTCTACACAAATGTTTTTAGACTAATGGAAATCGTAACCTCAAGGATTAACTTAGGTTGGAGCTGTAGCCTGGTTTGAAAAACTTCAGATGTATTCCTGAATGATAAACCCATAATGGGTTATAAAGTATAACTAGTACATCATGGGTAGAGGTGCATGTCTTTAACCTCTGAAGTGACATCATCTTGCGTGATCTTGCACTTCCCAAACACACTAGGGGATTATCCTAATACCCAAATTGTCTTCACTGTTCGAGGTGGACTACCCATTTAAGTGATCACTATTATTACCCCAGAATCCATTGCTCCCAGTTCTTGCCACTTACTAACTGCCCAATAAGATTAATTACTGGGTATGAAAAATATTCTTTTCTGTGATGGTTCATTTTTACATGTATTCAGTGATGCCAGAATTGGGAGTTTGGCTTCAACACTTTGACTGTAATTACACATACTGTTGTCATAGCAGACAGCGAATCTCCATGAGGACAGTGGTGACTGCCCAGGAGGTAGCAGTGTCCTGTTAGAGTAGGACTCACACCCTTCAAAGGTAGGAGGAGGGTCTAGGCAGAGCCCAGTTCTGTTGTGATTACAGAAGTTTTCCTTTCGCTCCCCTCTGCAAATGGGGCATGTGAGATAATTTTATCAGTATTATAGAGTGCTATCTTTACACAGTATAACCTTCACATGACCTCATTTATGTATGTTTTACATATACACAGTATTGAACATGTTAATACCAATATAACCTTCACATGACCTCATTTATGTATGTTTTACATATACACAGTATTGAACATGTTACTACCAAGTATATAATACTTACACGTTGAACCTACCAATTCTTTGTTCAGTAGTAATGTTGATCAGGTAAATGATATTATAAAAATTACCACAGTTACACTTTAATTTTATAATTCTATTTTAAAAAATTTTCCCAGGTGTTGATTATAAGATGATAAACTACTGAATTGGGTATGAAGAATTAAGAAATTTGAATCTGTGAACCCCATTTCCTGTTAGAACTAAGTTAGGAGTGTAGTTTTATTATCATTTGATACACAGATCATGTTCATGTTATTTGCTTAATGTAATACCATTCAAACACTTCTTAGCATTTCTTAATTTTTTATCATTTATGTCAATTTAGATGAATTTAGATGCAGGGGTATTTTTCAGGCAGAAGAGTTGCTAAAATAATTTTTTGCCAACTTTTAGAGATGAGAACATCATTTTGGAACATAATAGAAACTTAATATTTGTTCAATAATGAGACCAGAAGCTTGAAGTGAAGGTCTCATAGGAATGGGAGTTCTGTTCTTAAGTTATTCAGTCTATTTCATAAATACTTTTAGCATAAGTGATTTCAACTAGTTTAATATCAGACATGTCTTGTTCACACACATTACCTTCGGGAAGTCATTTATACTGCTTTCCTTTCTGTGATCTGGCATATACTGTATTTTCTGCACGTATTTTTATTTTGAAGAACCACTTTCTAACTTATTCAGTGCTTTTTTAAAATATATGATTTACTCATTAAAGCTATAAGACATCTAGGTAATTCTCTTAATTTACAAGACGTGACTGTAAAATAAGGAGATGGATTTTACAAATCACAAGTGAAAATTAGTCCCATTGCTTTATGGTCACATTCTGAATTTACTCTCCATTGCCCTTGTCAGAGAGGTGCTTGCTTTTCAGAGTAGATTGGTACAAGTCAAACTTTTTAATCTAGCAATGCTATGTAGCGGTTGCTTTAAATAATAAATATGTAATCTATTTATTCAGCGATTCAATGCCTCATATACCAGAGCAGCATACTTGGATAAAATATAGGAAGAATGATATGGAAAACATAACCTCTGTCTTCTTGGATTATATTCTTTCTACACAATTTATTATGTATTTATGTAGTGAGCTCTCTGCTGGGATATACACAGTTTAACAGAAAATAGCCACTGCCTCTAGGGACTCACAGTCCACTGGGAGGGACAATCATGCAAACTAAGTAAACCTATAATCAGAGTATGAGAAGCACGTGCTTAGTGCGTGGAGGGGCAAGATTTCTTAGAGGAGGCAGCATTTCTAAGACAGAGGGATCGACATCAAGGCGTTGCCATAAATAACCTCAAGCACTGTGGTCTGCTCTCGTAAAATGAAACTACTGCAGGATAGTTTGTTAATAAACTGATATTAATAATGTTTATTAATAAATTAATATTACTTTCTTACTAAAATCATTGAGCTTTTCATTTGAACCCAGCTTTACAATCTTCAAATGGCTCTCATATCCAGTATATAATTTTGCCTTTAGAGCTATCATAGGAGGCATAAGCCACATTTCACAGGAGCTAAGTCATGAATAATGTGTATAAGTGACCTAAGATCACACGGTCACTGAAAGAGCTGTTGTTTTTGCCCAGAACTACTGATTTTTAAACTAGACTTTTTCTTTTTTTTTTTTTATCATTCTGACTACTAAAAATATTTAGATTCTTATTACCACCAATAACAGCCACCATCATCAAATCAGACAAGTGTCACTTTATTATCATAGGTACACGTTTGTTTTTTGTAAAAAAGTCTTCTCGAATTCAAGAACCTGTCTTAGACACAAATACGGAATAGATGCCGTGATTATCTGCTGTTCACCTCTTCTTCTATCGAAGCTTCAGAGACTCTTTTTTCTGTTTTCTCTTTTGTGGCTCCTAGTTGAGTGTTAAAATATCTGTGGAGGAAAAAATAAAGATCAGACAGTATCACGCGGTAGCTGAAAGCTAGAGCTCTGGAATCAGACTGTCTGGATTGAGGTCTTACCAGCTGTGTGTGATTAGTCATTTACTTAAACCTCTTGAGCCTCAGTTTCCTCATCTTTAAAAGGAGAATAATAGGCTGTGTGCCTCAGGCATTGCAAAGATTAAATGAGTCAAAGTCCCAAAACAGTGCCTCACGTATCATAGGTCAGTAAGTGTTGGCAGTGTTATTATTATTAAAATATTCCAATGCTAACTATCATTTTCAGCTCTACCCGTAGAAAAGGAAGGGAATGAGATAGTTTACTCTTTTTTCTCCCATTG